GATACTTCATCAAATAGATATATGTATATCTAGAATAATCATATATAAAGGTAATAAAATACATATTACCACCTCTAGTCAAAATGTTATTTAATTCATATATATCTGTATGAATTAATTCTAGGATACTAGTAATTCTTTTTACACTTTGATATGTTTTCTTAGTCATTTTATATTCTACATAAGTTTCACATTTAAACACATCATTTTCATTATATGATATTAAGTCACATTTTAATATTCTTTCCATGGAATTCTTACTTATGTGACCTAATCTAGCATACCATCATGTAAATGAATCAATATTATAAGCAAAATCAACTTTATTATTAATCAATTTGTCAACAGTACATAATTTTTCATTCCTTTTCAAGAATATCATTTTCCAACAAATTTCTCATTTAGGGATAGTACAAGTTTATCGGATTCATAAACACATTGTATGCCTAATTTTTCTAAGAGATTTCAGCTAACCAGGTTCATATTCATATTGGGAACATGTAGTACATTTGCCAAGGTAACGTTCTTGTCGAAAATGAAGATGATCTCTACATTTCCTTTTCCAAACACTTTGGATCGAACTTCGTTACCCATCTGAATCTCTTGTTCTCCATCCACTTAATAATAAGTCTTGAATAAGGACTTATCATATGATACATGTATAGTTGCACACGTATCACACTACCAACCGGTAACCTTTTTCTTGATAGCATTAATTTTGCTCACAGTGGCCACAATGTTGTCTTCCTTGATGGAGTTCACTTTTCCTTCAGAGTTGTTTCTTTTCCGGTGTCGACATTCTTTTGCATAATGTCAAGATTTTCCACACACGAAACAACCACATTTGGTCTTCTTCTTGAACTTATTAAAGTTCATTGAAGGCTTTCTCTTGTTGGATTTAGTAGAAGGCTCAGTCTTCTCCACGATATTGGCTTTTGAAGTGCCTTCATAAGAATTTTCATTCTTATCTCCTGCCCTCGATTCTTCTTCAATTCGAAAATGTTTCTGCAATTGTTCCAAAGAATAGTTCCTGGAAGTTTTGCAATAATTGTTCCCACTTTTCTTCGTACCTTACTTTCCAAAGTGTTCCAAATTTCTTTTGCCGATGAAGTATTGGTGTGGAGATCATATAATCGATCGGATAACGCATTCAGAATGTGACCGCGGCGTATGAGTTCATCTTCTTGGCCTTTTTGTTTTTCGGCCTTCACCGCATCGATTTCTCCATTTGTTGGTTCTGGTAGGGCACCAATTCTGGGTCAAGTACGTAAAAAAATCTTCAACGCTATTAGTAGGAACTTCAATTTATCTTGCCATCTCGTGAAATTGGTTCCATCAAAGCGATCCAATGAAACAAGATCTTGATTCATCAACTTGATCATCGCAATAGTGCTTTCATTCTCCATCGCAGAATAAATATAGTTTGAGAATGTTGTCTATAATTGCTTCCACAAGGAGGGATTGGAGATGAAAGCAAAGATCAAAAAATCAGAAAAATAGAGAAAACAAAAGGAAGATCAAAGAAGAGATGAAAATAAGGCCCGAACACTAAAAAGTTGTCCTCTAACTATATTTGCCCCCTTTCAAATTGAAAATGATGCTTAAATGGATTACGGCAAATGGTTTGCAGGATTAATCAAGCCTCGTAAATGATTTAACACTTAAATACTAGTAAAAATCCTCCAAAACTTGAAGAACACAAAAAATGAAAATGTTGAATATGTAAGAAGCGATCTTTGATTTCAATGATGTGTGGAATAAAATATGTTTCTAAGAATGATTTTCATCATCTTGCCTTTGAATATTGATCACCTATATATAGGCCTCAATAGTCTTCCACGAAATGGTGCTAAAATCAGATGAAAAGCCACCAAAATTCAAATAGCAACGACCATGAAAAGGCTATTTTTTTATCTCCATGCGATCGCACAGGCCACATAGTTATAGCAGTCACGGGGCCTTTAGCCTCGATATAAGGCTATGCAACCGCATGCCAAATTGAACTATGCGGTCGCATAGTTCATCATTTGGCCTCCAAATCCATTTTTATTCCACAAACAATTTTATTTAACTTTTGAACAATATTTCCATCAAAAGGCAACCAAATTCGACTCTGTCCCGAATCAAAATCTGGTTTCTTTCTTCTTCAATATCAATCCATAAAGAATTAAACATTGTTGCATAAACGTATATTCTCGAATTGAATATTCTAGATTACAATGAAATGCTGTTGGAATTATTATGTGATTTAAATATATATAATTCTATTTAACTTTTAGATTCTTCAACAACAATTTGTCATATGAAGTATGGTTTCACTAGTCATACAAAGAAGATTTGAATGAAATATACGGTGGCATGTATGTATCCGATATTAAAATTGTGATTGGATTTTCTTATGACCCTCTATCTAACTGTGTATGTATAATTTAAAAAAAAATGAGGACCTAAATCTTTCCATATTCTGATTTTGGGTATTTATTGTGTTACCCCATTCATGATTACATGATGTTAATTTTGTGTTTTAAATCTGATCGTGACATAACACAGTTCGTTTATTATAGCCTAATTGTAGTGAGGGACGTATTTGGTGGAGTAAAATGAGCCCATACTTGATTATCTTGAACGAGTTAAGTGATATTCCCCTTTTCTTTTTTACTTCAATTTTAAAGTAATTTTGGAAAAAAAATATTACATAGTAAAATTTGAAATTTTATTAAATTGTGTACAAGGCACAATTTTTTTCCCCCTAATATAGAGCTTAGAGCTACGAGCTAGCGGTCTTTTAACACTGAACCAGCTTACTGGTGAAAGTAGAAGGCACCCAATAAAATCAGGACGGTCCGCTAGAGCCCATTGCCATTTCTTAGAGAACCTTGCTTGATGTATAGAAAATATGATTTACACACCATTTACACACACTCACAATAGGGGTGGGTGGGATTTTTTAGCTTTTTTATTTTAGTGGGACCCACACATTGTGAGTATTGGTAAGAATTCTGTGAACAATTATTTTGTACATTTGGTTTTACTCTTCTAATAATTGACGATTAGGAATACATTACTTTCATTTTTTCTTTTCACGTCCTAAACATCTTTTCTAAAACTTTTTAATGTTGCATTTATAAAAGGAAAGTGATTTTTTCCAAACTTAGATTGATACTTTCAAGAGGGAAAGTCAATAATTCAAATAATATGGGTGAAAGATATTACATTGCTTTCATTTTTCTTTTCACGTCCTAAACATCTTTTCTAAAACTTTTTAATGTTGCATTTATAAAAGGAAAATGATTTTTTCCAAACTTAGAACAATACTTTCAAGAGGGAGAGTCAATAATTCAGATAATATGGGTGAAAGATATTGAGTTTGGACGAGGATATCATTTGCATAGTAATTATTGCAATAATTTTGATTTGGCAAGGCCAATGATACACGGACATGCTACTTATCTACTCCTCGAGACAACAACTTTGTACGTTGCATTTAACAAGTTAGAGGTAATTTTATGTTATATAAAGAGTCGTCACAAAATAAATCAAAGATAATTAGTTCAAGTGAACTTGCGTTATTTACGATGTCTATAGACTACTCTATAGAACCAACGTCAAAGATAAAGACAATCAGCATCTTAATAGTTGTATCAAGTAGACTCCCAAATTTATTAGTGTCTTCAAGAGATAAATATATACACACAAATAGCCTATGTTTGGCTCGTTTTTATAAACACATCAAATTTTATTCACACATTTTGAAAGATTTATCGGTACCATTAATTAATTAATTCATCATTCATTTATATTTGTTTATTATTTAAATCATTTATAAATTGTTGAATTTAATTTGGTCCCAAATTTAGTCCCACCCACCCGTGATTGGGACCTTTTCATAACTCACCAGTTTGCCACAAATTTAAACAAAATACATAAATGGCGAAAACCAAAACTTGCCCTGTTTTTCTAACTTTGACAATGCATTTATTATATGTAATAATTCAAATTTTAATAGTGGCATAATTAGCAAAAAAGGGCTGATTAGATGGCATTTTAGTCTTTAACTCTCTAAATTCATCGCCCCGTTTGAGCCCCGTCGCGTTTTGTATCAAAATGCGTTTTGAAATACTGATTTTTTTTTTTTTTTGGGAGAATTGTGGTTAAAAAATAATAATTTTTTTATTTATGTGTAATACTATTTTATCGAATAATGTGTGTTTAAGATAAGATAGAGAAAAATATATTTTAAAAATAATGAGGATTAAATAAGGAATCATTTTTTTAAAATTTATTTTTAATTATTTTATATAAGAACGAGGTTTGAAAAAGGGTTTTTTAAAAAACGGAGGCAAACATATAGAGAATATGGTCTGTACTCTGTAGTGTGTGTTTCTGTCTCCCTGGCTATGGCTCTGAGAAAAGAGCATAAAACTAGCTAACCTCCTCGTTTTCTCTCTTGGGTTCTCCATTTTCCTTCTTTCTAAATCTACTTTCTGAGATTAATTGAAATCTTTCTTTGCTTAAAATTGGGATTTTTAAGTATAGATGATTTCTGGGCATCTCTTAAATAGCTTAAATAGTTCTTTAGTTTTGGGAAATTCCATGTTCTGATTCTTGAGGTAACTCTTCTACCTTTGTTTAGATGCTTTTTTCTTTTTTTCTCTGTGTTTCTTGAACTAATTTTTTCCTGAATTTAGTTCGTTGTTTAATTGGACTTGACAATTAAAATCTTTAGAGTGTTAATTTTAATTTGGTTATTTGTTATTTGGTGTGATAGCGAAGCTTCTTTAATTCTTGGATTAAAAATTTAAAATATGTATAAAGTTTAAATATTATATCGATTCTTGTTAGTATTCCTTATTTTCTGTGGTAAATTTCTGTTGTAGTTTCTGGGGTTCTTTCTTTTCTGTGATTACATATATTTATGGAAGTCAGAAACTTGAAATTGATTGCTTTCGTTTATTTTGTTCCAGAATTACGGGTGGAAATTTCTGGGATTAGCTGTAACTATGAAGAACTGCAATAAGCTACGGCCGTTTTCGATCGTCAATTTTCTGTCACTGGCTTGTTTGATTGATGTGATAGCAGTCGATTATGTGCCAACGGACAAGATTCTATTAAACTGTGGTGGCCCCCCGGAAGCCACGGATAAATATGGCCGGAAATGGGAATCGGATATCGGTTCAAAGTTTGCACTGTCGAGCTCCAAGTCCTCAACTTCCCCAGCTGCCATCCAACAACCCGTTGTACCTGAAGTACCATACATGACTGCTCGAATTTTCCGATCCGAGTTCACCTATACTTTCCCGGTGGCATCAGGGCGTAAATTTATCCGTTTGTATTTCTACCCAGCATCATATAATGGACTAGATGCCTCCAATGGCATCTTCTCAGTGACTTCAGGGTCGTATACTCTTTTGAGAAACTTCAGTGCTGCACAAACCGCTAAAGATATGAACTATAATATTATGATGAAGGAGTTTTCTGTAAATGTCCATTCCGAAGTGTTGAATGTAACTTTCACACCATCGGCTAATATTTCTAACTCATATGCATTTGTGAATGGGATTGAGGTTGTTTCGCATCCGGATATTTACAGTACAGATGGGACTATCATGGTTTTGGGTCGATCCATTGGATTCAATATTGACAACAGTACTGCACTTGAGAATGTTTATAGGCTGAATGTGGGCGGAAGTGAGATTTCACCCACTGGTGACACGGGCCTTTTCAGATCGTGGATGGACGATATAGCTTGCATATTTAGTGCTGGGAATGGGGTTACAGAAACTAATGATCCCAACGTTACTATCAATTACCCTTCAGGAATGCCAAGCTATATCGCCCCACTTGATGTCTACAAAAATCTGAGATCAATGGGTCCAAATGCTTCGGTTAACCAAAATTATAATCTCACTTGGGACTTCACTGTTGATTCGGGCTTCTTTTATCTTGTTAGACTCCATTTTTGTGAGGTAACAGATGTTATCACTAAACTGCATCAGAGAGTGTTTAGAATTTTCCTTAATAATGAGACTGCAGAGAAAGAGGCAGACGTGATAGGTTGGGCAGGAAGCAATGGTGTTCCCATTTACAGGGATTACGTGGTGCAAGTTCCTAGTGGGCCCCCCCTGCAAATTCTTTGGCTTGCCCTGCATCCTTCTACGGAATCGAGGCCACAGTATTATGATGCAATCTTGAACGGTGTTGAAATATTCAAAGTAAATGATACTAGAGGTAATCTTGCAGGTATCAGTCCAAGCCCACTTCTAGAACCCAAAGGAGATGACTCATCAGCTAGTTCATCGTCTTGGTCAGGTCAATCAAATCACAAAGCCATTATTGGAGGAGTTGGAGGTGCAATTGCTGCAGTCCTTCTTGTTGGTTTATTTGTTTGTTTTGTCTCAAGAAGTTGGAAGAACAAAAAAGATTCTAGTACTAGTGATGGGTGGCTTCCTTTACCTTTGTATGGAAATTCACATTCTTCGGGTTATGCAAAGAAAAGCACTACTGGAAGCATTGCGTCCTCCCTACCAGTAAAACTTTGTCGCCACTTCTCAATAGCTGAAATCAAGGCTGCCACCAAGAACTTTGATGAGACTCTCCTCCTTGGGGTAGGAGGGTTCGGAAAAGTATACCGTGGAGAGATTGATGGCGGAATTGAAGTGGCCATTAAGCGTGGGAACCCACTCTCAGAACAAGGTGTGCACGAATTCCAAACCGAGATCGAAATGCTTTCAAAACTTCGCCACCTGCACCTTGTTTCACTAATCGGATATTGTGAAGAGAATTGTGAGATGATCCTTGTGTACGATTACATGGCTTATGGAACTCTTCGTGAGCATCTGTACGAGACACAGAATCCTCCGTTGCCGTGGAAGCAGAGACTCGAGATTTGCGTTGGTGCTGCTCGTGGTTTGCACTATCTACACACCGGTGCAAAGCACACTATTATTCATCGTGATGTCAAGACAACTAACATTCTTTTGGATGAGAAGTGGGTGGCAAAGGTTTCCGATTTTGGCTTGTCAAAAAAAGGTCCTTCATTGAATCACACTCATGTCAGCACTTTGGTTAAGGGTAGTTTTGGTTATCTTGATCCTGAGTACTTCAGACGCCAGCAATTGACTGAAAAATCTGATGTCTACTCATATGGTGTTGTACTTTTCGAGATATTGTGTGCTCGGCCAGCTCTAAACCCAACACTTCCGAAGGAGCAAGTTAGCTTGGCAGAGTTTGCTCTGCATTGCCATAACAATGGCATTCTTGACCAGATTATGGATCCGTATCTGAAGGGTAAGATTGCACCCGAGTGCTTTAAGAAATTTGCTGAAACAGCGGTGAAGTGTTTATCAGATGTTGGGAAGGAGAGGCCCTCTATGGGTGATGTGCTTTGGAACCTTGAGTTCGCTTTGAAACTTCAAGAAAGCGCAGACGAGTGGCAAGGTATCGGAGAACTGAATACTGAAGAGGGTCCATTTGACGTCACATGTAAAGAGAAGGATCCTGATGCATCCTCAGGTCTTGATGACAATGTAACAGATTCGAAAAGCAGTGGAATGCCCATGAGCATTGGTAGTCGGAGCCTTGCCAGTGACGACTCAAATGGTTTGACACCCAGTACTGTGTTTTCACAGATCATGAACCCTAAAGGACGGTGATATCCAAACGTTCTGCACTCTGGTACACTTCTAGTCTATTAACCACTGGATGATAATTTTTCATTTTACGCTAATACTCTAAAGGTGAAATTTATTCATTGTCCCTATCTATTACTGATGAAGAGAGATGTTCATTTGACAGTTTGAACAATAGTCTGAATTGATAGTTTTGATCTATTCGTTGTTTCCGTGACATGTTCTATCAAGATCGCTTTACTCCTTTTAGGGTCTATGCAATCACCAACATGGATAGGCGAATACTGGTCATTGGACAGAAGAAGAATAATAAAAATAACAATTCAGGAAATAAAAAATATAGATCCTAACTCAACCCAAAAATGAAATTCAACTAACACCGGTGATTTGAACATTTACGTGCAACATAAGGGTTTCTGAAGCACAACTACACATTACTTAATAGCAATCAAATTTACAATACCGCATCAATAGCCACTCACGAGGGTTAAAAAACAAGAACTCAACACCCTTCAAGAACGAAATCTCGCCATCATAAAGTGCTATTTCTGGTACGATAAAGCAGAATCTTGAATGGATATAATCTTCCTCTGCAGCTGTGGTTTATTGGCTACTTCAAGTTTGTCAATTTGCTGTCTATCTTTTACGACGAAGAAGGTTGGAGTTGCTTTGATATCCCATGATGTACTAAATTCCTAAAAGAATGAACCAGTTAAATACAATATTTTGAGGGTTCACGGACAGCTTTAAATAAGCCTTCAAGAAAGGGTTGAAATGTATATAGTGTAACTTCAAGCAGTTCGCGTTTTTCACTGCCACTGTACTTACAGTTAGCACTCAAATTCAACTTTGACTATTTCATCACGTCAATCAACAGAGGACAACAAACCTAATCCTCTAGGTCATGTCTGGTTGAGATCTTGGTCCACCCAATCCCATGGCCTCGAATCATTCCCCTAAAGCTCCTCCCCATCACTTTCAATACCAATATAAAATTCTCTAGTTGAAAGCTGCCTAAACCACTACTATATTGATTTTGGCTATAGCCTTCTTTGGTCCATTCCACGGATCCCACAAAATCCACTATTTGAATATCTCGAGATAATTCAATGCTCTTGTCCTGATTTTGGATTATGAAAGACCTTAATACGGTGTCTTCATAGACCGAATACACCAAGCTGCTGCAATCACTTGTACCAATGACTAATTGGAATGTTAAACATGGTTTCACATACACCATGAGGGATCAATTTGGCCAATGGCACAATTTGAATCTCAATCATAACATTCAAGCAGCAGCCTTTCATAGAAGAAACCCTTTGAGGGGGTCACCGGCCTCCATTTCTCACTTTGAGCATCTCTCTCTTCCAATACAAATATAACCACTTTCTAATCTATGATATCCAAAAATGGGAACTCAAAAATAGGCAAATATGCACGGATATAGTAGTCTGAAGTGAAGCCCTCTTTCCAAAGTAACATTGATACGAGTATCACTAGTTAGAACAACCTCCAACGGAGATAAGATTCTCATTCTAGAATACATGCAACATCAAAGTTCACACTATAACATGCGTTACACAACCAAATCCACAACACTTCCCATTTTCCCCATCAAAATGGTCTACAAGGTTTTATTATGTTTCTGATACAGCAATCTACTTGAAGAAAGTATCCGTCATCCCATGGCATACTTCTGCGTCCAGCTGCGGGCTGTGGTCTCATACTTGGCCCTGTCAACCTTGTACATGTGGGCAATCTCAGGAACGAGGGGGTCATCAGGATTTGGGTCAGTCAGCAGTGAGCAAATAGAAAGCAGTACCTGTTTGACAGGAGTAAAATTAGTGATGCAACAATAGTGCCAAGTTATGAACCCATTTACCCAAGAGAGAAATAAAAAATAAAAACATCGCAATTGTGTTTTTTTTTATAACCGTGGACGTCCGGGCCAGCCTGCGCGCACCTCGACTAATCCTACGGGGCCCTGAAATTTAAGGCCGGGTACTCACCTCAGTGACTTGAGGGGACTCGAATTGATGACTATTGGGGAGCAAACCCAAGGCCTGACCAATTGACCAATTATAACCACAACAATTTACCGCTCAAAACAAAAGATAAGAGATAAAACTTTCACGCAAACAGCAAAGTATCAGAAGGGTATATAGGGGTGTCCTGCTGTCAACCCAAAAGGTTGAACCAAACAGTATCTTTTTAGCTTCTTTTTGTACCTTAATTAGTACTATGAGTATCTAGTACTGTCCAATTCTGGCTACCAAACATGCCATGGGGTATGCATATCAAAGAAATATCATAAATTCCCACAACCTAAGAGCCAACCTAAAACTGGGAACAAAGCTTCTTTTCCCCATTTCAGGCATGTGCACCACATTTGTTAGCTTTCATTTTATTTTGTGATCTAGTGCACGTGCTCGTAGTTGCATGCACATAGTAAAGCTTTTCCAACATGCTTTGTCTGTCGATACAAACTGAGCAGAGAAATTTCGTGTGGCACACTTGAGGATGTTTGGGTTTTGAGTAAGTTTACAAACTCTGGCATCTTAAACAACCAGGGGAACATGCAAAGGGAGTACAATATTGAATTCAATCTAACCTTCTAATATTATTATATAGATATTCAACTTGACAACATACAACATGCATTTACCCATGTCGCATAAATAGATGGACACCTGCTTCACAGGAATTGCCACTACTAATACCCAATTTTTACGGACTGACTTTGTAACAATTACCGACACTGTACAAGGATGAAGTTGCAAAACATACTCAATGTGAAAAGCAAAGCATAGATATGAACTTTAAATGCATAAAAGACATGCAAATATATGCAGTCAAAAAAATACAATCAATTTTGAAAACATTTCCGACCCCAGATATCATTTTTCAGCCATTAAAATACAATCGCATTGTCTTTGTTCATTAAATTAGTTAGGTACATGTTTTTGCCTATTAACTAAGCTACGTATTTTTGCCTATTACATACATAAAATCTAATGACACCGCATCTTTCTTAATATTGAAAAATGAGCAGATTAATATGGTTCAAAAGACTAGCCACTGTATCAGCAAGCAAGATTAAGGTAAGCACAGACCTTAGAGATGGTAAGGGCTGGGCTCCATTGTTCTTTGAGAATATCAAGACATATGCTTCCGTTGCTATTAATATTTGGATGGAAAACCTTGGTCTTAAATGCAACCTGAAAACAAAGATAAATTTGCTAAGAATGCATTAACGACCCTTATTAGGATCAAAAGTAAATTATAAAGTAAACATGCTTTATGTAAGCACATAACCAACTAGGTCTTCACAGCTGCACGGGTACTCAATAAGATAGCTACCTATGCCTTGAAAGGAAACTGAGAATGTCTTCAATAAATAAATCAAACTCAGGAAACTGAAAGAAGCAACTAACATCTACTTGGTGCTGAACATGGCCAACTTTTGCAGAAATTCAAGCATATCTAATACCAAAAACAATGGAGAATCTAACCAGCTCTGGAAAGATAATTACAAAGTAAACCATGTATGTACTTCCTTCATTCCACCAACATAAAACTTCAATAAAACCATATCGATGATATTTCTTACTCCTATTCTTTAAATAGCTTTCCAATAAAAGATAGCAGCAACATCCACTTAAACATCTTGAATAAATCAAATGGATTAAGTGGTCAAGCAGCTTTAAAGGAGAAAAGGTAACAACTTACTTAATTAGCTAGAATACTTATTAAAAATGTCAGCTACCAGTCTAGTATCATTCTTTCCATTTGAGAACCGGTGCTTCGCACTACACAGCAAGACAACACCAAAGAACATTTTGGTAACAATTTGACATTACGCACATTGGTCAGCTCAATTCATGATAAAATCATAAAAAACTTGGCAGTCCATCAGCTCTAGTAGATAAATTGGCAAGAAAAAATATTTTAGAAAAATGAAGTGCTCAAAAACAACCTTAGGGGGCTTGAAAGGATAATCTGGAGGGAAGTGAATCGTAACTAGAAATACACCTCCTGCATATGGGCTATCAGCAGGTCCCATTATGGTCGCTTGCCAGTGGAACATATCTTCAGCTACAGGTCCTGCCACAAATGAAATCCATCCTTGTCTTATTAGAAGATGAAATGTACCTTTACTGCATTCTTTAAAAAAAAATGGCTATTTAACTAACAGCGTATAGTTGCTAATGTTAGCTAACACCTCAAGGAAGCTGTGGACATTAAATGTGAACAAATGTAACAGTATAACAAAGTCTCACTTAAAAACTTTATAGTAAATACTATTAAATCCAAACTCCTATCACTGCCTGCTCTACTCGAGCCCAAGTAAAATTGAACGTTTGACACTTTTCCATCTCTCATATTGATTCCGCTACAAGCATAATACTCTTGCAGGCATAAACTAAGACAAGATTAAACTGAATAAAACATAACCACGTGTGGTAAAGAAAGCAATGATACCAGCACTGCAAGAAGTAGGAGGGTCTTTCTGCAGATCCTTCAGTTCCTTCAAGATACGCTTCGACGCCATCACCTACCAAATTAATAACCTTTCCCCCAAAAAAAATACCTGGCAAAATTCAAACAGAATTGTCAGTGACAAAAAGAACGACATCGTCTTACAACAAACAAGCAAAAAATAAAAATAAAAACGCTGCTCAATGATATATTCCAAGGTCTAAATCACCATTTGAAAAAAGAAGCTAATACAATTGATCTATGATTACTAAGAAAAGCCTAAATAAAAGGATGGGAGTAGAAAAGGCTGGTAGATAAGCAGATCAATACCAGATTGATTGATTGATTGAACAAGAGGGCCGAGCGGAGAAGCCAAACGTCGTCGTCGTCTCCGTCCCGAACCCCCTCTGTGTGATCACTCTTATCGCACGATTTCAAAAGGAGGTGGAAGATGGGCTCCCGAGCAAATATACGCATACGCCCTTCAATGTTCTTTCCGTTTCTGCCCTTCTGACTTTTCTTTAATGCCGCGTTTCCTGATAAGA